AATGTTCAAAAGATGGCTGACGCATTCTACTGCATAACTCCAGAAACATGGTGGTAACCCCGCTTCCAAGAGACAAGTTGCGGTTGTCATCATAATGAACTGATTGTTCCTCTCCGCCAGAGAATTGTTCTGAGGATGATTCGGTAGAGAGTGATCGAATGGGATCTTCAGCTGCTTCATAGCCGTCTCAAACTCTGGGGCTTTGTCGGCATAAGCAATCTTGATCTTCTTCAATCCTTTGAAGTGGTTTATTGCATTGACCACGTCCTTGGTAAACCTCTCTTTCGACGGATAGGCCCATATGACACCTGTGTACCTGTCACGAATGACAAAGATCTCTCGATCAGTACTGATCCCTTGATCAAGGATGTTCCTCGTATCGACAAAATCAAAGGTAACCAGATCTCCAAAAGCTTTGAGCTTTCTCTTGAATGCTCCTCGATGCGTCTTGAAGTGTTTCATCTTTGCTCTGATGCATGACTCACAGTAGGGATTCTTGTAACGATGTGTGAGTAGATGCTCGATTTTCCTGGCATCTGCTTTCAGAGTTCCTCTTCTCACCATTCTACTTGCACCGTCAACAACATCCACCTCGATGTCATCTGCATCATCATCGTCAGCTTCTGGTTCACTGTCTCCGGCGACATCTGATCCTACCTCATCTTCTTCTCCAGGAGATGCCTTGAACTTCTTATTCCTCTTCCGCCTTTTGACTTTTGGAGGTTCAATCACAGGAAGGTCGTCATCATCACACATGATTCCTTGAGGATCCACATCACAGTTGATGAAAGTCGATTGGTAATCGGCTTCATCTTCTCCTAGGGTGAACCTTGCGATCATCTCCGCCCTTGTATCGTCGGTGGGAGTACAGAAGTCACTGCCCTTGACAATATATGGGATGTTTCCCTCTACTTCTAGCATGATTTTCTTGTAGTTCGGGGAAACCATGTACGGGTTGCCGCTGGCTGGCCATATGAATGTGTATCCTTCCTCCATGCATTTCTTTCCAACAGACAGTACTGAAGGAGACTCATCTAAGACGAATGGGGAGTAGGTGGAGTCAAATTCGTCGAAATGAATGTCAGCGACTCCTTTTGTGGATGTCACTCCATTTGCGGTATAGAATGACATTGATTGGTCGCTTTCTCTCACTTCCAGACCTAATTTCTTGGCTCTGCCTTTCGATATCAAATCATACCCACATCCTGTGTCCATGATGAACTTCGTTCTCGACCCTTTGGCTGGAATAGACAATGTCTTTGTGTCTGCATGATCTTTCTTTCCCTCGCATACATGAGGAATGACTTTATGATGAAAAACTAGGCCGTCATCTTCGTCAAAAGACATAGTGACCGATAGGTCACCCTTTGGTCCAACTGGTATTCGGACCCTCTTGATCTCAGTGTAGGGGACCATCAGTATGCCTCTCGCCTCTGCGACCTTTTCTTCAAATCTGATTTGTTCTTTCCTCGTGTAGCAGGTGAGCTCTTTCTCATCATATCGTTTGATGTCCGGACGTAGAGGTTTCTTTTCTACTACCTTCCATTTGTCCCTGACTGAGTAGATCGCTTCGTTCAACATGATCTCACAAGTCTCTTCATCAAAGGATACTTTTGCACCTCCTTCTCTTGCCTTGGCGGATGCAGCAATCCCTTCATCTTCGGATTCGTCCATGAAGAGTTCACCGTCAATGGCTGGGGCTCCAGGCTTCGCCTTAGGTTTCGGTTTGGGTTTTGCCTTGGGCTTTGGCCTATCGTCTCCTGAGTCAGCTGGTGCAGATATCCCTTTCTTAGGAGAGGCTTTTGGGTCATGGTAGAACTTGCAATCCTTCCCTTTGTCACAAGTTCCGCGAATCCACATCCAACATACTGGTTTGTCATTCTTTCCGACGGAAGATCCTCTGGATGGTGATCTGGGTTTCTTGTGACTGAATGGGCAATCTTTCCCCATAGTGCAGTTACCTTTCACGAAGAATTTGCACGGTATCTTCTTCTTGTCTGTACTCGGACTTCGGCTGCGATCCTTTCCATCACCTTTACCTTTCCCCTTTCCCTTTTTGTTCTTGTCTTCAGGATGCTTCTTGGGATTGGGTTTCGGCTTCACTGCAGCAGCGTCTTCTGAAACAACCTGTTCTTGTTGCCCTTTTGGTTTCTTCTTCGGATCAGCTGGTGCAGCTTTCAGTTTTGGAGCAGGTCCGCCTGGTTTGAGATTCTGAAAGATATTGGCCACATTCTTCACTGCCTTTTCCTTTTCCATGATCATCCTGTCTTCAGTTTGCCGTTCGATGTGCCTTCTGATCATATCACGTAGATGTTTGTATGTCTTCTTGGCATCATCGTCGTTCATGCTGTTGTAGGCGCTGATGTCGTACGCCATGAGGTTTGAGTTCCTGATCTTTCTCCATAGGAGATCCCGAAGAGTTTCGTCGCTCGGGACGTCAACGGGTTTCATTCCTGCCAGAATCTCATCCCAAGTGTGGAAGAACAACGATAAGTTCTTGTCTCCTTGATATTCTAGTTGGTAGAGGTGCATCGAAGTATATAAGACTTCCACATTTGATGTTGTCTTGAAATTCATAAGGATCAGGGCTAGGACCTCTCTTCCCTTTATGAGGCTTGATGTTCTCCCTTTTGCATTGATCCTCGTCCTCAACTTCATAGCTACACCTGAACCATCATCTTTCGCATCCATGACGACCTTGGTAAGAGCTAGGCCGAGTTTGGCATCGATTGAATGGAATCTTTGGTCTCCTGAGTCGACAAACTTGTCTGGATCAGGATCGTCCATGGCTTCTTTGATCCAGTCGATCCAGGGCTCTTGATCTGAATCATTGGCCGCAATGATGATTGATTGAATGAGATTTGCCTTCCATAGTCCAATATCATTGATCCTGGGCCATGACGGAACGTTTATCTTTGATTCTTCCTTCCTCGATACTTTCATGACAGTAGAGGTTGCCGGTGCAAGATGAGATGAAGAGGATGCCTCTGTTTCTGAAATCTTGTCCCTCAATGATTTGTTCGCCTCGGATAGCTCAATTGATTTCTCCCTTTCCTCGGCGTACTCATTGTGGGTTTCGGCATACCATTCATACATCTCATCTCGGCTCTCTGTCATTTCATTGTACCCGTCCTTGTAGTGCTTCGCCTCCTCCTTTGCGTTCCGAACCTCATCTTCCTCGGACGCGTGGGTTGGTAACCCGCGGTCTCTGGAACTAGGACGCTTGCTGTACCGAGAGACTATGGGTGCCATTCGTGCTTCTGCTTTTAATTTCGCATTTTCCATAATGACATTCTTTGTCTCCTTCTGGCTCTCCAATAGTGCATCCTCCAGTTCTCTGATCTTCTGTTGAATTTCAGCACCATCATCGCCGAACATAGGAGCTCTCATCATATTCTCTCTTTTCAGCTGTGCGTTGGCTTCGGATAGAGCGAGGTTGACGTCTTTCAATTGTTGTCGTTCACGGATGGAACTTTCTAGGACTTCGTTGTTGAATATTTCTCCTTTTGCGATAACCTCCTTTGCGACGTTTGCTTCGTATTCATGGTGGCTCGCCTTCACTTCTGCCATTTCTTTAGCAGAGACTTCAGTCTGGCATATAAACATCTCCATCCTCATGCCCACTTCCATCTCTCCTATCTCCGCTTTCGCGTTGAGTTCAGCTCCACGTGCCATAGCTAGTTGACCTCGTAGATGATCAATAACCATAGCTTCCTGATTGCCCTGATCTTGAGATGAGTGAACACTGTGTTGAAGACGTCTTTCCCTGACCTCACTATTCCATTGTTCTTCTCTCTGGTGTTGGATCACCTCGTGCATGTTGACATTCTCATCCTGTAGCGCAATCATTCTAGCTTGTATCTGGTCAGCTATTCCGACGAAGGCTGTGTTCTCATCCTGAATGGCTTTTGATCTTCTATTGATCGCCAATGAAGATTCATTCTGTTCTTGGATGTGTCCAATCGCTGCTTGAAGCTCTTGAGACATTCTGTCCTTCGTTGCTTTCACAGATTCAAGCTCTGAATGTTCTTGATGAGTTTCTTGTGCAAGCTCTTGATATCTCATGTAGATATGCTCAGCTGTCGATTCCGCCAAGCGTAGTTTGTGTTCGAGCTCTTCAATTCTTATTGTCGCTCCTTCATCCTCCTGTGTCATCTCCTGTAGATGTTCCTGCATCTTCCTGTTGTAGTCAGACATTTGCCTGAACTCCACTTCAGCCTCGTGGTGTAGTCGCGAGTATCCGGCTTGGATGCATTCATATTCTTGATGAAGAAAATTGTATGCGTTTCTCGCCGATCTCAATTCTTCACCCAGCTGAATCTCTCTTCTTTGCTCTTTTGTTCCTCTATCATCGTCACGTCTCTTCTCTATACTCCTTCTTGGGGATCTCGCGGTAGACGTTATAGGCGATGTAGATCTTGTTGTAGCTCTCATCGATCTTCTTGGTCCTACGGGTGCAAGATCGGTCAGATTCCGAGCCGGTGGCACGGATCTTTCCGAGATTTGTGATCCGGTAGGCATAGTGATAACGTCAGCATTTGCTGATGAATCAGTACCCATTGTAGAGTCTGGCGACGAAATGGTGTTGGGACCACCAGGAGCAGCGAATGAATAGGGTTCGCTTCCATTTCCTCCTGAGCTTGACATTGCAGGTTTCTGTAATGACTAGTCTTGTTCTTGGTCTCGTGTAGCTCGTACGGCTATAAAGAGCGCGTACGGCTGATAACCTGCGAGTGGATCTTAATCAGCGAAGTTTGAAGCTATCACTGACGGTCCATAAGCGGCGTAGCGTCGGAACGGAAACCGCACCTTTTCTAGTCGCTTGATCCTTGAGCCAAAGTACATATGGTATATATATATGTACATGTTGCACTGTACATGTCGCTGCACTTCCATTCGCATAGTATATAGTAGTCTCGATTGGGCATTCCCGACACACCAGTCTTCACACCCCCTTTTTCTGCATCGATCTCGCATGCGCGGCGTTCTTGGAGGCAGACCCCACGGATTGCCCAAGCCGCACCAGGAGCTTCGAGTCTCGAAGGCGAAAGTGCCTTGGACGAGCGTCCGGAACCACCCGACTCGACCACCAACGTGCGAGGAGGTTCCAAAAACGCCCAGAAACCATGCCATGTGGAGACGAAAAACACCGATATTATACAAACACATTACATGTCCATATGGGGTGTTCCCCAGAGAGGTTGGCATTTCTACCACAAATGCACTGAGTGTGGGAAACATCATGTTCTCAGGTTTCTGCCGCGGTTTGGGTTTCAAAAGACTGCCCGTCAAGCTGAAGTGTTTTTGAGGTGTTCAATATGCTGCAAATGTCCAGTCCGCAAGGTTCCGCCGTATTCCCGCAAACGTCCACCACATTTCGGCAGATTTCCGCCATAGACTTGTTTGTCAAATATAGCAAGTTGCAGCGCATCCAAGAGTGACCCCTTCATCAAACGTTGGAATGCCCAAAGTTGAACTGGAAATTGTCTGCTGTGCAGGGTAAAAATCAATCCTGCACCCGTATGGTGTCCTGTTGCACCAGGTGCAGGTCTAGACCCCAAAGAGCACAAAAGTGACATGTTGTTGGCAAATGCTTCCATTTTTCCTCTGCACCCTCAATCAACTGAGCCTGCAACGCAGCAGCACTTGACAGCAGTGCCTGGGACAATCTGGTGGGAACGGGCAATGTCACGCCCAAAATAGGCACTACCCGCAGTTCCAAAGTTATTGTAACATGCGATACTTCTAGGATGAGGCTAGACAGAATCCTGACTATTAGTCAATTTTTGAAAAATAATTAGATTTGTTTTTAAATAATATATATTTCATTGTTTTATATTTCATGTTGTTTTATTTTTATTATTGTTTTTTATATGTACTTATTTTTTCATTAAAAACAAACATAGCTGATCTAGACCACTTCCAATCTGATCCACCACTTAGCGTCGCTGAAAAAATGTATTTTGTAAAAAAAACAAGTCGAAAGACATGATGGGTCATTGGTCGAAAAGCCGATTTATGTACAACAATGTCCGTTGCCGGACATACCACCATGTTGTAGTGGTCTACCAACTTGTAGTGGTCTACCACCATGTTCAGAAAGTCCGCTCAACAGCTGAGCTCGTTCTTCTTCCCGCCGGTCTCTTGACGGGGGGGAGTCTCCCGGGCGCGTTGGCGACGCCGCGTGCGCGAAGCCTGACGCTGTGGGCTTGGACACCGGGCAATCTGGAAAGGCTTCAGGTAGGCCAATTCTGCCTGTCAGGTGGGACAAGGTGTGCCGTTCGTCAGGTGAGGTTTCATCTTTCACCAGGTTTCATCCCCTAGGGATCCAAGGATGGAAGCTGTCAGGTGATACACCCGAAGTCTGCCAGTCTGGATGCCCATTGTTGGGTGATTCACAACCCGCACGAACGTGCCGTGCACCGAAACAGGGGGAAAAGGTCGTGCCGGAAGCGAAGAAAAGGTCGTTGAACCCAGACCTGGTTTTTAGGGTCCTAGTTTTGGGTGACATCTGGCAGTATGCCGACATCTTGATCCGACTCTGGAGCCCGATTCCAAGCTTCGCCGAAGTACACACTTCCACCTGGGAGTGGGGAAACCAAGACGGTTGTGAGTCAAAAACTGGGAGACCTCAGTCGACCACAGAAAATGAACAGAATTCCGTGGAGGTCAACCTGGCTCCGACCCACAGCACCAGAAAAGAAGGTCGATCACGTCACCCACTGACTGGGTAGGCTAAGTACCCAAAGCAAAGCATAGAGAATGGAAAGGGTGAAAGATGGCCTCCGTTTTCTGCCCCATGCCTTCTCACCAACCCCTATCCAAGACCCGTATACACGCTATCCAAGACCCTTTTACCACGGACCCGAAAGGGGTCTGTGGGAAAGGGGTCTATCAAGAGGTTCCTGATCAAACTAGACCCTGGACTAGAATATGATGGCCTATGACTGCTCCTGATTGTGCACTGGGGTGTTGTTTCCTCCAACTTCTTTGCAGTGATAGCTCAATCAACAAAACAAGGTGAGAAAAAAGGGTCCCCAAACCCACCACATGACTGGATCTAATTAACATGCATGTCTAAACACCAAGCAAAGGCGCAGTAAACTAGGACTATGGTTAACTCAAGCAACACCTGTAGGTCACTGTAGCCGTTTTTATCCGTCTCCATCTCGCTGAACAACGGGAACTGGAAGCTCCTTCCAGTGACAGATGTTACGTCCGGTCAGGTTAAACATGGTGATCTTCGCAAAACTGACTGGTGCGACGAAAGCAGGGTGGCTGAGGGTGGCTGGATCCAATAGATCTATTAAGGGCGTCCCGGGCTTCCTTTATTCCGTCGCACCAGGACCAGAAAAAAACACACACCTGGTAGCCTGATAGGACCCTACGTAGGGGTACCCAACTGGGATAGTCTAGTTCGGGTCCTTCAACCTCTGTTGGAAAACGACTTCACACCGATCGGCCCTTTTCTCTCGCAGGTCGCACACTTTCTCTCGCGGGCAGCCTGGCAGGGTCCCGTCGTGGGAGTCCCGGGTGTCGAATAAAAGGCACGGGTGACATGACCGCGCCATGTGAGGCGAAGGCGTCCCCTCACTCTGACATTGATAGCGAAACAAAAGGACCCGGTTCCGCACCACGCAACTTAGTAGGCTGCAAACATTGGGGGTCTCCCTAGATCACCAGCTTCTCGACTTCGTGATGTTGTTCGATGGAGATGAGCGAAGCCTGAGGCCTGTGACAAACATCGCTCCACCCGCTCCTTCTGAGCTAAGGTTATTAGATACACTGTTGTGCCAGGAGAGTCCAGGTCTGAGAAGGTAGATCCTGGATCCCGGATGAAGAAACTCCAATTGGATTGAAACACCTCTTCCTATGGGACGGGTTTATTCATCAATATTATGAAGAGGATTCTTCAATTCAAATGTGGACCTTGTTATTAATCAAGAGTCTACTTAGATGATGATAGACGGCTTTCTTTGTCCGTCTTCTTTTTCACACACAGTTCAGTCGGAACCCTCATGGTTCCCACCCGTTTTTTACCCGGAAAATACACATCGTTTTCGGATTGTTTCTCGGCCAGTCACCCATTGAAACGCCGGATCGTTTGTCGACGAATCCAAACAGAGCCCAACTCCGAGTTCGCAGTTTGGGACTGGGCACATCAGACTTGGATTTGCTTCTCTTTTCTTTCATCCCTAAGAATCCGAACGGACCCTCCATAGCAGGGCTTCGGGCCCGAGTCCCAAACCCTATATTGTGTTGCTGGTTTGGGGCCCGGATTGAGGTCAAGCAGGAACACTGAATGTAAAAATCCCCAGGCAGCGCACCGGTCCCCAGGCAGCCAACGGGGATGTTACATCCGGGATGTTCGTTTCGACAGAAACGGACCGGACCCGGTGTTTCGGGCCTTTTTCTGGGCCGACGGTCGAGCGTGTGCATGTTCGATTGGCCGAGGGTCGACCACCAGTCGAAGGGCCATCAGTCGAAGGTCACCATAGATCCCACGCGCCCACGCGTCATTCCGGAGGGCCTGAGTGTTTAACTCCTCTTTTTGTGTCGGATCCGTGGAACTATGGTTTGGATGAAATAGCAATTGGTCTGTTTGCAAATGACCATCTTAGCAAACCAAAGCTGTTCTGTGTTGGCTAAGCCAGGGACATTTCTTTGGGCAGCCTCACTGCACCGTTCAGGTGGAGGTCCCAGGGGGGCGCGCTCAACAAGCCCCAAAACCCCAAAGAGGTCATCGTCTCTGTCAGTGGATTGCGACATGTCTATCAACAAAAGCCTCCAACAGTTCGACCCAGGGGTGCTATCCGTAGAGGTTAGGGGTGCCTAGAACATACTACAGTTACTACAGTACGTATATTGACTAAACACAAACCTCATCTTGACATGTCTTGACTCCCCTCACCCTGATCGGAAGCTCCCCTCACCCTTCGCCGTTCAGAAACCCCTCCGTCCTTCTCCAGGAGGGCACTTCCAGCCTTGCTGAGGCGGTCCCACGCCACGTGGGACCGTCCCTCCAGTCAGTCAACCACCCCAACTGATCGGCAGTCCTATGGCAGTCCCATGGAGTGTCTGGGCTATGTAGCTACTTAAGTGGATAGTGATTCCTTTTTTGGCGCACTGCACCCGCCCCAAAGAGGCCCAGGGATGGAATCCTGAGAAAAACAGACCGCCCATTGACCCCTGAAATCCACGACCCCAATATATGGAAAAATACACCAGTCCCAAACAGCCCTATGGATCCACATACAGGGCAGGTCTTGCTTGGGATTGGAATCCAAGGACCGATGCCTGGCACGTTGGTCGTTTCGTTCCCCACGACCTGACCGGCATCCGCAACAGCATCAATACTCGATGTGAACAAGGCAATGGCAAAGGACATCAGTGCAAATGCAGCACCCTAGTCGCGACGGCCTCCACCCTAGTCGCGACGGCCTCCACCCTAGTAGCGACGGCCTCCACCCTAGTAGCGATGGAGGCCAACCTACTAGCGTTTTCGACAAAGAATCACATTAATGTCGTTCATGAATTGATGTGTTTTTTTTTTCACCTGTCAACTGTGGGATTGCGGCAATCACTCGTTGTAGCGGATGGCATCCCTTGAAAGACGACTTTCCTTGACGAACAGTGGTGCCATCCACTTCCATTTCAGTGAGTGGGAGTCAAAGTCTTGCTAAACATGATCTTCTACAACCTCAAGACACTTTACGCTCTACACACAGCAGAATCCCAAGTCTTGAGACACCGTGCAGGAGGTCTGAGAGCATTCTCGCACGGTCAGAGATCAACACATCTTCTAAGGAAGACCATATGTGAAACTCAGAACAACTCCAAACTCGCACAACAAAATCTCATCTACCAGTAAGTTCATGCCAACTGGTTTCTCCATGCCTTTTCTATGGAAAACATGTTCTCTATTGGATCCCACTCACCAGCGCTCTTGTCATTCCCTCACGACCTACGTCCACTCTCTCCACTCTAAGAGCTCGACGCTTGTCTCCAGTGGCGCGCGATCCGTGGGAGGCCGTAGCTCTCTTGGAGCACCGCCTGGTTGCCGACCACATTGATCCTGGTACCAAGGAACCCCACAGCCGGTGGAGGGCGGTGAGATCAGGGTGGGTTTGGGCCAGAGAGTCAGATGAGGGGCTGAGGCTTGTCTCATGTCCAGTGTGTCCAAACAAACAACATGTATGGTATGGTGTGACTTTTGTGAAAAAACATAAACACAAATAATGGATGACTTCGACGTGGTTCAAATGGGGGAGGCCAGCAAGAATGTCCTGGTGGTGACCACGCAAAATAGACCAGTCTACCCATTGGTCAGAAGGTCTTAGTACGTTTGCTAGTGAACTACAAACCGATTATGGCATTTGCACACTTGTTGTTTCATCTGGGTATACGGGTGTGTTTCTTTTGGGCACACTGGACAAGTGTGAGTTCAAAGTTCAATGCTTCCACCAAGAAACATGCCGAAATGCACCGATCCAACAATCATCCCTGGTCCATCGCGACTGGTTTCCAGCTTTGTGTCTCTGGTTTCGTCTAACGATTTCGTGTGGTTTCCGGTGGAATATCGTCCATCCGAGCTTCCATTTGGTCATGATGAACTTCTCCCCATTCTTCACCTTGGATTTGAATCACGGGTTACGCAAAGTCACAAGATGCAAAAAATCTGAGGCCTCCTCGCTGTTCACAACAGCAATAAAAAATATTTACATAGCAACATGTGTCATTCATGATTGCAAATGAATACACGCTAAATATATGTTACACCCCAAAACACACACACACACTTGAGAAGGTTGCTCCGTAGAGCGCGATTTCAGGCTGCTTCGCGGAGTGCATTAGCCCTTTAGAGTTACTGCAGATTAGACCTTGACTAAAAAGAAGTGCTGAGTCAGTCGACCAGAATGTTGGAACAAGTCGTGGAAAGTGAAGTGATTCAAACAATTGGAAAATTGCAGGTACGTCGATTTGGCGTCCCAAATCGATTTCACAGCGTCTTTGTTAGTGCCAGACTTGCATGGTCCCTGGCACCCCCTGCTCATGGTCTGTACAAAGATGCTTAGCTGAAGTAGTAGGAATAGCTAGAGTAGTGCCCTTGGAAACAGGGGTGGACACACACAGAAAGCCGAATCCAGCGCAGCTAGAAACCGTCTTGGAAGTCAATCAGTCAGCTGAAGCTTGGTTTTCCTTTTTCTTTTTCTTTTTCTTTTTCGCTCTTACTTTTTGTCTCTCGCCTTTTTCCGCCAGGGGGTGAAGGGGTGTTCGGGCGTGCATTGACTAAACGAGCCTGGATGCCACCTAACCAGCCTAAAGAAAAGAACAAGACAAACGAAAAAGGCAAGGAAAGAAGAGAAAGGTGCAGGGGGTGCGGGGGCCGGGCAGGGCGTGCGTTGACTAAACGAGCCTTGATCATACCTAAAAAGCCTGAGGGAAGGAACAAGACAAACGAAAAGGCAAGAAAAACAAATAAAGGTGCGCCGGGTGCGGGGTCGGGATGGCTCTTACGAGCGAACGGTACGGGCCCATGGGCACTGTCCGAGAAGCCGAATCGGCGCTTTGTTAAAAATAATTAAAGTTATTAAAATTAGAACAAGGAAACATCTCCGGGGTGAGACATGTTTCAGTGAAACTCTGCAGTATATTTCAGTGGAAGTTTCAGTGAACTCTGCAGTAACACTTCACGTGTGCAAGGTGAGACAGTCCAATCAAGCTGATTTCAAGCAAGAAAATCCAGTCGTGTGAGCTTCAGAAAAACTTCAGGAAACTTACTCCTGCGGTGAGGAGTGAGAAGGTTCTTGCAGTAACGGCGCCCCGTAGGGATCACACAGCTTACCACAGTGGGAAGAAGCTGTGAAGACACACTTGAGAAGGTTGCTCCGTAGAGCACGATTTCAGGCTGCTTCGCGGAGTGCATTAGCCCTTTAGAGTTACTGCAGATTAGACCTTGACTAAAAAGAAGTGCTGAGTCAGTCGACCAGAATGTTGGAACAAGTCGATGTGGCGTCCCAAATCGATTTCACAGACCAATGCAAGCGTCTTTGTTAGTGCCAGACTTGCATGGTCCCTGGCACCCCCTGCTCATGGTCTGTACAAAGATGCTTAGCTGAAGTAGTAGGAATAGCTAGAGTAGTGCCCTTGGAAACAGGGGTGGGCACACACACACACACACGCAGTAGCCCACTTTAGTGATTCTTTTGCCCGCTGCAGGAACTAGACCTTGACTCGCAGGAACTGTAAGAGTGCTGGGTCGGTTCAACAGAACTGTTTAACAAAGGTGAAATTGAGTGTGACTACTATGAAAAAATTACAGTTACAAAACACTGCGTCCAGTATCTCTTCCAGCCGAACACCATAGCTTTTGTTAGCACGGCTAGGTGAACGGCCGCCGTGCCCCCTGCCTTGAAAGTAGTTTGAGTGGTTTTGAATTAACTTGCAATGTGTGAAAGCCTTAGAAACAGGCGTTGACACACACACACACACCATGCCGATACCGGCGCTCAAGAGGTTTAGTAGCCACCTGGCAAGCCTTAGAAAGAAAGGAAAGGAAAAGACAGAAAGAGAAAACGAAGAGGGCAAGAAAGAACGATAGGTGTAGTTACGAGGCCCACTAGTTACGAAGCCTTCTAGTTACTGAATACTTAGCCGCATGAATTAAGTGCAAAAGTTAGTGAGCGGGACTTTGTCCTAGACCGCCCAGGTAGGAAAGACTAGGACAGGAGAAACAGAAGGAAAGGCACCAACACAAGTGTGTTGAGTGCGATTTCCTTCTGTTACCCTAATTAGAGGGGGGGAATAAGAAGTGTGAATTCTCGCGCAGGGGTGGGGTGGCTGGCTCAGGCCCAAACACACTTGCTCAGAAAGCCAAGATCGGCACACCCTTGACTAAAAGTTTACCTGAGACCTAAAAAGCCTCTAGCAACGAACGAAGACCTGAAGAAGAGGAAAGAACCCCGGAAAGAAGGAAAGCAAGACCGTGCATGAATTACTCAGGGTGAAACGTACGAGTGAATACTTAGTACTTGACTAAAAGTTTATATACCTGAAACCTAAAGAGCCTCTAGCAAACGAAACAAAGACCTAGAAAACGAAAAGCAACAGCAGGAGAGAAAAGAACCAAAAGATATTACTTAGCGGCATGGCACGCATCTTTTTTCATGACATGTGAATGCTTAGCGGCGTGGAGGATTCTTCAGTGGGCCCTGCGGCATTCGATCTCAGTGGGCCCTGCGGCATCCGATCAGCAATCTCAAGCAGAACGAAACGAGCCAGTGGTAATCAGAATGACGTTCACGTGAGAGGGACGAAAGAAAGTCAGTGACAATCGCCCAAAATTGGGTCTGTGCACATGCTGCGCCCCTCGATGGGGATCACACCACAGCCCTCAGTGGGACTCTGTGGCGACACACACTTAGATTGATGCTCGCAAGAGCTGAGTCAGTAAAGGTAGCCCACTCTAGTGATTACGTTACCCGCTGCAGGAGCTAGACCTTGACTCGCAGGAACTGTAAGAGTGCTGGGTCGGTTCAACAGAACTGTTTAACAAATTGAAATTGAGTGTGACTACTATGAAAAATTTGCAGGTACAAGATACTGCGTCCAGTATCTCTTCCAGCCGAACACCACAGCTTTGTTAGCACGGCTAGGTGAATGGCCGCCGTGCCCCCTGCCTTGAAAGTAGTTTGAGTGGTTTTGAACTAACTTGCAATGCGTGAAAGCCTTAGAAACAGGCGTTGACACACTCTGACATTGGTTTTCAGTTAGCTCAATTCCCAGGTGAAAAAAGGTGAGAGAACGGCAAGGTGGAGCGTCCGATCATTTGAAGGTGCTTGAAAAATGTTTCTCTCACAACTGCGGTGACAGGCTGCAATACGCGCGGCTGCTGAAAGTGGCTGAAAGAAATGGTTTGGGGGGTAGGTAGCATGAAAAACCATGGAAACAAAAAGAGCAAATTGGACAGCGTGTTCAACAGTTCCAAATTGTTGCAGGTACACACGGGTGATCAATCCGTGCTTCCCACTCCAAGGCATAGCTTCGTTGCACTGAGTTTGCCAAGGAGTGCTCAGTGCCCCTGCTGGACAAAAGGAACCCTTGAAGCGGAACCCTTAGGGACAGGGGTTTACACACACACGTGCCGCTTTGCGGCCCTCGCGTGGTGGACCTGAATAGATACCAAAAAGCCTTAGAAACAAAAGAAAGAAACACAGAAAGAGCAGCGCTAAGAGGGCAAGAGAGAAAGATAGGAGTAGAAAAAAGTGAATACTTAGCCCTTGACTGGGGTAGGGAAACGAGCCTCAAGAACAACCTAAAAAGCCTGAGAGAAAGCCCAAGAAACGACCGAAAGCGTAAGAAAGAAAGGGGGGGCAGGGAGGGGATGTATGTAGCATGTGTGTGTCCATGTGTGTGTATGACTACTTAGCACTCTAGTTACTGACTACTTAGCAGAAAACGAATTAAGTGCAATAGTTAGGGAGCGGGACTTTAGTCTTAGACCGCCCGGGTAGAGAAGACAAGAGCAGGGACAACAAAGGGAAAGGCACCGACACACAAGCGTGTCGAGTACCATTTCCCTGTGTTACCCTAATTAGGTAGGGAGTAGAACTCGGCGGGGGGGGTGGGGGGGTGGGAAAGCATGTCTGGCCTCAAGTGGAAATGAATTCCGTTTTTTAGCCCGGCGGCTGTGGTATCATGTCGTGCAAGCCCGACGGCTCTTAATGCAGTTAATCCAGTGGTGAAAAGAAGTCAGCTAAGAAAATTCACGGAAAGAAAGGACCGAAAAGTCTGTTACACGATTTCCAGCATGGCTTCAGCGCCCCAGTGACGGGGATCACACCCAGCACCCAAGTGGGACGGCTGAGCGGTTCACACTCTGACATTGGTTTTCAGTTAGCTCAATTCCCAGGTGAAAAAAGGTGAGAGAACGGCAAGGTGGCGCGTCCGATCATTTGAAGGTGTTTGAAAAATGTTTCTCTCACAACTGCGGTGACAGGCTGCAATACGCGCGGCTGCTGAAAGTGGCTGAAAGAAATGGTTTGGGGGGGTAGGTAGCATGAAAAACCATGGAAACAAAAAGAGCAAATTGGACAGCGTGTTCAACAGTTCCAAATTGTTGCAGGTACACACGGGTGATCAATCCGTGCTTCCCACTCCAAGGCATAGCTTCGTTGCACTGAGTTTGCCAAGGAGTGCTCAGTGCCCCTGCTGGACAAAAGGAACCCTTGAAGCGGAACCCTTAGGGACAGGGGTTTACACACACACGTTCTATGCTAACTTCGCCTGGGCACAGCACATGCTCCGTGCTTCACCAGTTCATCACCGTCGCCCGGCGGCTTCAAGTTGAACCAGAAGAGAGCGGTGCCTGCACGGGCGCGGACGAGAAGTGCGGACGGTTCGTGCGGAACTCGCGACATGGGCGGACGGTCCGTGCACATCACCCGTTCTGAAGAAGTGCGTCCATGCTTAGTCATCCGAGAGAACCTGAGAACTGTGGAAACCGTCTCTGGTTGGTGATTTCAACACTTGAACGTATGAGTTAGTGAGGTGAAGGCTTGTCCCACCTACTCTCCAGGGGTCACCAAACCTCTATCCTCCAACCAACGTGGAAGCGGAGGCTATGGCCCTGTTCCAGGAAGACTTACACTTCCTTGTCCACTTCAATGATTCTTGGAGGTAGACGGTGGTTGAGTCGGGAAATGACGCACGTCGCATACCCATTGGATGTCCAGCGTCGCATATTTCGACGGACTGCTGTGACTGCAGGGACACAAGGAGGACATCCCCTACTCCTGCAAATCCCGTGAAAACCAAAGGGTTGTCATCCTCGAAACAGAAACATCCCAGACACTCCATGTATGGCATATTTACATGCATACATTGGGGTGGTTTTAGGGGATGTAAGTAAATATACCAGTCCCACAGAGTGTCTGGGCATTGCTTGCCCCAAAGAGTCAGGCCAGCGAACCTTCGTCGGCTAGCCGCTAGCCCCCGTCGCGGACGTGACGGCCAAGGCCTTCGCCCTTGTTTTTTCGATGTGCGGAAACTGAAACATCTAAGTCTTCACCTTTCACGGTGTGAAAAAAAGAACTGTGTTTCAGTCAATGTTTGCTGCCAAACAGGGGTGCTTGAGCAGCATTCAGGTTATGTCCATATGTCCAGACATGTTTCTTTTCACCAGCTGCAACCCGGTGAGTGTGTTTTTTTGTTTTTACCCATCCCTCCGAGAGGGTTCGCAAGGTCCACGGCCAAAAGGTCGGCTTTGGGATGGACCGCCATCCTCCCAGTGCAGCCTATACCAGCAGACCCTGAAGCGACCAGGGCGCTTCAGGGTATGCTTGATTTTTTGCCACACCACACACGGGTGCCATCACACGCGGCTGGAAACGCATCACATACAGTCTCACCAGTATCTCACCATAGCTAAGGATCCCTCTGTCAATGACGCCAACCCCGTAAGACATCGCGGTCTGCCACATCTTGTGCGCTATGTTGCCGAGAATAGGTTCATGGCAGAATCTTCCTGACCTGTACAAACTAACACCATCGCTCTGGAATTCCTTTTTGTGATCGCGCAAATGCTGTCTTGAGCACGGCTTCTGGACTTCCAGCCTAACATTGACCACTATTGTACAAGTGCATTCAGCTCAAAGACAGTGAGCCTGTCTCAGGTACCCCAAGTCATGGAGCCTAATGAAGCCCAGGTCACTTTCACCGCCGTAGGCACCCATTGCCACATCTCCCAGGCGGGTTTTCTTCAGTCAGCATCACCATTTCTTGGCAGGTGCACACCTTCAAGGGATCCTTTCTCGACCCGCTGCCAAGAAAACCAATTTGTCCGACACCAGGCCGACTCGTCCAGGGCGACGTCTTTCAAAGCCAAATGCCCGGCAAGGCGCCCACGCTCGACTTCGGTGAGCCCTCGCTCGACGAGGAGCTGGACGAGGAGGCGTGGCTCGTCTCGCTGCACGTGTCACTGGGCTCGGTCGCATGGGGGTCGGAGCAACCCCGGAAGCTCCTGGAGAGACATCCGGAACAACCTGGAGTCTCCAGTTCATAATATACGTCCCTATATATATACGAACATGTACAAGCCCTAGGGATCCAGTTGTGCCTTCTGAGGTACGGTGATTGGATACACTGTTATGTAGGTTTGGAGGGTCCAATTGTACCTTCTTAGAAGGTACGACTGGATCCCTAGGCAAGACTAAGTGACCCATTTTCCGAATGAAGACTTGGTTGGATAGCCTTGGTTTGTTCCTACATGTTCCTCCCAACAAAGACACTTACTTCTTGTGTACACCCAGCAAGTCCAAAGGACGGGTTAAACTGGTGCGTTGGCGTAAAGGGCGCATTTCACCTCCCAAATTCCAAGACCTAATTTTCACAGGTTTTATACGGCCGTTCACCCTGTAAGTTTTCACGGGCTTTTCACGTTCTTTTCACGGCCTTTTCGAGCTTCCAGCTCCTGTTTTGCTAAAGCACCGGTTAAACCAGTGCGTTACTAAAGAACTGGTTAAACTGGTGCGTTGACCCACTGGGACATGTAATTTCCAGCATGGTTTCTCCATCCAGAGAAAGAACGAGCCGTGTCCTGGTATAGCTGCTGAGGTTGGTGAGAGTTCGGGAAGCAATCCTCACCAGGTGTTGCGTCTGCGCAATGGGCCCTCTTCGACATGCAGCAACTCTCGACCTGCGGGTTCGACGAAGCGAGCGAAGCGAGTTACGGACACGGGATGTCGTCATGGCATGAAAAACAAAACACTATAGCTATTAAAAAAGCTATTGATTTGGGCCATGGGTCCATGGGTCTAACTTGCATGGGACTGGGAGGACGTTACATGCATTTACATGACCAACGTTGAGGAACGGACCGTGGGCACTTCCGCCGTCCCAAGTCACCCGATCAAGGCACCCATGAGGCTGACCACGGCAAAGAAAGGTACCGAAAAGGTTTCCTGAGTGAGTTGAGCGGTCAGAAAGAAATGGACAGGGTGAGAGCATGGTAGAAAGGGTCCGAGCTAGGCCCAACCCCGCGTATCATTAATAAATATCAATTAATTGATGGCCTTCAAACTAAGAGCCGGCAAAAACAAGTAACAATTATTGTTTATATCCTACATGCCCAAACCCTATAAATTGGTAGGGTCCATGGAAAACCGCCTTTGGGCGCGTTTGTGTATCTGGTCCAGATTCAGTCCGGCCTCGTCAGAGACTCGGTCCATGTTCGTTCGCTCCACGAAGACGGGCGTTGGGAGCGGATCGCGCGCGCGCGCGCCAGCCGCTCCGTTCGGCGCTTGGTCGATCCTTTAGGAACTGGGGAAGTCTGGGGGAGTTTGGGGGGATTGTTTCTGTTGCGGGTTCCAGGCAGCTTCGTGGTGGATGAGCGTTTTGAGGTGTGGAGGCCAAAGAGGCCAAAGATACGTGTCCTCTGTTTGGGACACCTATCTCGATGCCGAAATGGACTCGAGATCTTGGATTCGACGTTTTCTGAGGGATTCGGGATGCACCTGAAAGACCGGGGGCATCTCGAACCAAGTACAGTATGTTGAAATAAAATGCAACATACAGAATAAAAGAACCAGGCTTGTTCTCTTTTTATTCCATTTGAACCTTCTGGTCTTTGTAATTTTAGCATTAGGTCAATAAATTCTATGACCTATGAACTCCAAAAACAATGAAATTAGCCAGCACTTCTGCTCTTGGCCGTTGGGATCTGCAGTTCATGTCCCCGGAAGTTCTCCCCTCCCTTTAAAGATATATATATATATATATTAAACAACGCAAGACTTCTGACCATAGGTGAGAAAAGAACCGGTGGTCTCTTCATACCATCTTTCGTCTCTTCTTCCGAGTCTCCACCAAGCTGGTCGTGAAGGAGGCCTGGTGCTGGGCCTCAAAGCTCATCCTCTGGATCAGAGACAGTGTTCGCAGTTCATCCATGCCTTGCACCCTTGGACCCGACGCGTCATCCGGAAGGATGGTACGTCATCCGGAAGGAACGAAAGGAACCGCGCAGAACGGCAGGACGGTCCAAGACAGGCATCACTCCGGAAACAACGAATAGATATTGTATATTGGTATGTTTTTTTGTTTTATATAATATCTTATTAGATCTTTGTTGAATGTGTTTGTTTATTATTCTAATTATTCGTAAATTATATATATATATTACATGTAATGTAATACACGGTACGAAACATGGCTCACATTGTCTTCACCAAGGGGTCAGGCCATCCACTTCCGGGTGCTCCTTGAGAAGCTGAGCCGATCCTCTAAGGAAGCTTGGCTTTGTGTCATACGACGTGTTCCGTTCTGTTCGACTGCAAGAAGCACCTGGTCCGACCTGGACCATTAAGTCAATCAGACCGACCTGCCCCGACGACGGCAGTTGTCACGTTTTGGGATCGGCAGGATAGACCGTGGACAGTCCCCAGCCCGTCAGTGGGTTTTGTACCATATCGCCCCACCAAACCCAGACCGTTCAAGTATGGAAGACTTGCCTACATTGAGCCTTAATGCATCTTCAAATCACTCCAACTGATGGGCACATATTCCATACATGGATTCTTGGGGAAAAAAGGACCTCCTCGGGTCTGGGGTCTGGTGGGAGACCGTACGAGTACTAGTAACTAGTACTAGGACAAAAAGTGCGGTCCAAGCAGAACTGGGTGTTTAAACATGTTTAAACTAGACCCAGACCCATTGGGACACTACTTGGGACCCACTGAGTTCTCCCCCAAAAAAAACACACACCCAGGCGACCCACTGGATGTGGGTCATCAAGACAAAGCCCAGCGCCAAGGAGACCGACACCTGGGGGGTTCCAACCTGCGGTCGTCGCGGTCGCTCACCATCCCCGACCTGGGGCATTCCACCGTCCCGTGTCGGCCACCAGCGTCCCATCGTCGTTCCAGCAAGCTACAAGGCGACCGCGAAGGGCATCAGCAGCCCGGATAATCCACAGAAGTACCTAAGGAGTAGCACCCTTAGGTAGGACCCACCCGGAGGATCTCCGGAGGGCATCCACCTTTTTTGTTGCGATGGCCTCCGAACGAACAAAAACAACTGCAAACAATGTTTTATAGAAAAAGACTTTAAGGAACCTAAGAGTGATGGCCTCCAACCTAAGCAAAATTTGCCGCATCCAAGTAGTTGGGGCCTAGCCATGGATTCCCACCTTTGACCATACGGGAAAACAAATTCACATCCCGAATTCCTGCGTGGCCAGGATCCACGTCAAAAAAGAACCATATCTGACAAATCAACGGTGCAAAGCGTTGAATTAAGGGAACTCAAGGAACTTGACAAAGGGAACTCAGGGAACTTAGGGAACTAAGACCTAGGTTCCCCCAAGACCTTTGA